AGAAAATCCTGCCCTGTTTGAACTGACAGAATGTGCTAGCCCGTTTTGATGGTCTCGCCCTGTGAAAAGACATAAGCACCTACCTGGAGGAATTCTTACCTGGGCTGGTGGTACAGATCTTTAATCCCAGCTGTTCCAGAGGCTGAGGCAGGAAGATTGTGAGTTCATGGCCTACCTAGGTCCGAGTGTTTGTACATGATGAACTTTGATCATGTCTACCACCCCCACCGACCTCCCTGCCCCCATCTCTTCCTCTTTTAATGCTGCTTTAGTGAACGGGTTTTCTCAAGAGCAGATGTGATGTAATAGCTCCTCCCAGAGCCAGCCTCAGAGTTTCCCATTTGCTGCAGCTCCCTAATGCATGCACATAAAGGAGGTAATATTTTCAAAAATAGAACCCCTGAAATAGTTTCTCCTGTTGTAAGACATCTGTATTTTTTTTTATTTTTATTACAGTTTTTATTTCCTGGAACTAGCTCCTGTAGACCAGGCTGGCCTTGAACTCACAGAGAAACCCTATCTTGAAAAAACAAAAACAAACAGGCAAAAAAAACTTTTGCTGTTCTTCCTAAGAACCTGTTTGATTTTCAGTACCCATGTCAGGGGTCTTACAACCACCTGTTACTCTAACTAACTCCAGGGATCTGGTAAGTTCTGGACATTGGGTGTGCATGCACACACATGTACACATGATTGAAAGTAATAAAATCTTGAAAACCAGGTTGGAGAGATATATCATAGGTTAAGAACATTGATTGCGCTTTCAGAGGTCCTAAGTTCAATTCCCAGCAACTATGTGGTGGCTCACAATCATCTATAATAAGATGCTTGCAGGCAGACAGCACTGCATATATAATAAATAAATGAATAAACAAACAAATAAATAAAATTTTATGGGTCTTAAGCATGAAAATAACTGATCAATTTAAAAAGCACAGTTTTATTTTTTTCTTGTGTCTTTGGGGAGGAGAGGTTGAGACAGTTTCTTTTTAGCTTTTGATTCTGTCCTGGAACTCACTGTGGAGACGAGGCTGGCCTCGAACTTAGAGATTCACCAGCCTCTGCCTCCTGAGTGCTGGGATTAAAGATGTGCGCCACCACCACCTGCTGGCCTCGAATTTGTGATCCTCCCACCTTAGCCTCCTTCAGCAAATCCTGCTGGTGTGCACCACCACAATCGGCGTGTCTTTAATATTTGTATGTGGAATAGTATACATGTGCCCAGAGAGAACAGAAGAGCATTGAATGTCATGGAGCAGGAGCCCCTGGAATTGGTTCAAGGCAGTTAGGTGCCACCTGATGTGGATGCTGGGAAATGAACTTGGTTGCCTAAAGAACAAGAAGTATTTTTAACCATAACTATTTCTCCAGCCTTGTTTCATTTTGTTAAATTACATTTGGGTGGGGGGTGTGTATGGCTAGTGCATGTGTATATGTGTGTGTCCAAGCTCACATTTGTATATGATAGGTGTTGGGGTGCACAGTACCTAGCTCCACAGAGGCAAGACAGATTTCTCTTTCACTGCTGTATCTTTAGTACCTTGAATATATTACATGACATATAAGTCACTGTGGCGGAATACCTGACAGCAGCTTGAGGGGCGTGTGGTAGTTGAGATGAAAATGGCACCGTGGACTCGTGTGCTTGCCTACTTGGCCTCCAGTTGGTGAACTGCTTGGAAGGATTAGGAGGTGTTGCCTTATTGGAAGAGGTACTAAGCAAGCCCCCAGTTTGATGCTTTTGTTTGTAAGTTGCCTTGGATGCTGGGTGGTGGTGGTGCATCTCTGTGGCCCCAACAAATAGGCAGAAGGCAGGTGGATTTCTATGAGTTTTGAAGCCAGCCAAGACTATACAGAGAAGCCCTGTCTTGCAGGGAGGAGTGGGATGTTGCCTTGGTCATGGTGTCTCTTCACAGCAACAGAACAGTGACTAATTGGTTGTGTTGTTTGAAACACCTGCCAGTAAGGGCTGAGTTACTCCTGCAGCTCCTTGTCTCTCTAGCACTTAACAGAACTTTTTGCTGGTGTAAAATGATAGCTAATGATAGTTTTATTATATTTAGTAACTAATGAGATTAAGCATCTCTTCCTGTAGTAGTTGGCTTTGTTGTTCATTGTAGTGCCTGTTGACAATGGTCCAATTTACTATTGGCTATTGGTTACTTTTAATTGATAGGTAAGAGTTTCTAACATATTCTAAATACCAAACTTTTGTCCGTTACATTGTACATAATGAGTATGGGGCCTTTCATTCACTCTAGAGCATTAGAGCATTAAGAAAAGGGTTGGTTTTAATGTAGTTGAATTCACCTGTTTTTTATTGTTTGGACCATGTGTGGGAGAGATGGAGAATTAGCAGATTATTCCTCCTCCTAGCTCAGGACATCCTCTCTGTGCAGCCCAGCTTGGTGTCCCCTTGCAGTCTTCCTCTCGTGTTTGCCTTCCAGCCTCTGCTCCTATAGTACCTTCTTGGGGGAAGAAAAAAAATTTTTTTCTTTCACAGTAATCTTTAGCCGGGGTACTTAGGTTTTCAGTGCCCTGGTTGCCTGTTCTCCTCCCACCGCTCTGTACTGACCTTGCCTTCATGTTCTTCAATACATGTATTTGTTATTGGACTTTTTGTTCTGTTCCTTGGCCGGATTTGTCTATTTCCCCTCCTTCCTGTGTATTGTGGTTTATGTGTGCTGATGCTTATGCACATGTATGTAGAAACCAGAGGTCAACTTTGGGCAGCCTCTTGTCTCTTCCTCACCTTATTTTTTGAGTCAGGATTCCTCGCTGAACCTGGAGCTTACTGATTGGCTGGCTATCTAGCAAATACCGGGGATTCTGGTACTGAGTATGCACTGCGCACCCAGTTTTTTCCTGGGTCCTCATGCTTACCTTACTTAGGTAAGCCAGCTCCCCGGCACCTAACATTTTTTAAATTGTATTTTATATCCTTTAATGCCTTTGAATACATTTTATTAATTTACTTCATAAAGTGTTTCCTGTCTTTGACTAGATTTATTCATAATCTTCCCCCACCCCAACGGCCTGCTTTTTATTGTGGCCTTGAGTACATTCACATTGTTGTCATGACCATTATCCTTCTCCAGAATTTTCCCATCATCCCAAACTGGAGCTCTACCCAGTAGACATATGTTGTAATAGAGGGCCTGCTTGTTTGTCTCGGTTGCCCAGCTAGCTTAGCCCCGAAATAACCACACAGAAACTGTATTAATTAAAGCACTGCTTGGCCATTAACTCTAACTTCTTATTGGCTAACTCTTACATATTAGTTTAACCCATCTCCATTAATCTTTGTATCACCACGTGTCTGGCTTACTGGCGATTCTAACCAGCGTCCATCTCAAGCAGAGGATCCATGACTTCTCTCTGACTCTGCTTTCTTCCTCCCAGAATTCAGTTCTTTTCTCCACCTGCCTAAGTTCCGCCCTATCAACTAGGCCGAGGCAGTTTCTTTATTCATTAACCAATGAAAGCAACACACAAACAGAAGGAACTCCTACACCAAACATACACTCCTGGTCCCCCTTTTCTTTAGCCCTTGATAACCAATATTCTATTTTTTTCTGTGAACTTAACTAATCTAGGTAGAATCATAATTTGCTTTAAAAGAATAGTATGCCTTTCTATTTTGGAGTGAAGAAATATTATCGATATGTTGTCAAACTGCCTTTTCTTTTTTCTTTTTTGGGTTTTTGAGACTGGGTTTGTCTGTGTAGCCCTGGCTGTCCTGGAACTCACTCTATAGACCAGGCTGGCCTCAAACTTGAAGATCCACCTGCCTCTGCCTCCAAGTGCTGGGATGAAGGGCGTGCACCACCACTGCCTGATGCCTTATCTAACTCACTGGCCTAGTACTTCATTTTGAGTTCAGCTATAAGCTTTCTGCACAAACAAGTGTATCATATGTTAAATAAAAGGTATTTTCTTCTATTAAGCCTGCTTGTTGACTTTTCAATTTAAATTTTTAAGAAGTTTGAACTCTAATAATTTGATTCATTCGTAGATCTACTATCTGCCTCTTGAAGTGTCCCGGCTCCCCTGCCCTCCTTTCTCTCTTTAGACAAGGTCTCAATCTGTAGCCCTGGCTGGTCTGGAACTCACTATGTAGACCAGGCTGGTCTCAAACTCAACAGAGATCTGCCTGCCTCTGTTCCCCATGTACCACCTTGTTTACTCTCCCTTTGAGCATATTAAGAATTGTAGTGGCAGCTGGGAGGAGGTGGCACATGCCTTAATCCCAGTACCTGGGAGACTGAGGATCATGAATTCAAGGCGAGCTTAGACTACACAGTGAGACATTATCTGAAAACCAAAAACTGAAGAATTAATAGTTAAGTGTTTGATAATGTTTCTGCTATGAACTTACAGTATAGTAATGGTATTTCTTTGTGTGTATTATTATTTAAAATGTACTTAGTCCTTGGGATTTTATACCTGCCAGGTGTTTGGTGGCATTTCTGAGCCATTTGGCAAAAACTGGGCTGTGACCCTGTAGAAGGAGTGTTTTGTACTTACTCCTTTTCTGGGGCCATACGATACTTTTTAAGAGGGACTTTTACATTTCTTGAAATTTTTTTTTTTATTTATTATGTGTACAGTGTTCTGCCTGCATGTATGCCTGCAGGCCAGAAGAGGGCACCAGATCTCATTACAGATGGTTGTGAGCCACCATGTGGTTGCTGGGTATTGAACTCAGGACCTCTGGAAGAGCAGTCAGCGCTCTTAACCTCTGAGCCATCTCTCCAGCCCCCTTTCTTGAAATATTTGAAGCTTCCTTCCAGACAGTATCTCCATGTAGCCCTGCCTGACCTAAACTCCCTCTTGACAAAGCCATCTTTCAGTGTACTGCCCTCCCCCGTCCTTGCTTCTGAGTGCTGCCACCACACTGACGGCTGGCGGCTGTCTTCCTAGGACTGTAAGCTGACCTGAGTGAGGCCGTTCCCGCGCCGCTGGTCCTGCTGTTTCACTGTATTCTAGCTGCTAACTGGAGGTGCTGCTTCTTGTTTTATAGGTGTCAGCTGTGATGCATGTTTAAAAGGAAACTTTCGAGGTCGCAGATACAAGTGTTTAATTTGCTACGATTACGATCTTTGTGCATCTTGTTATGAAAGCGGGGCAACAACAACAAGGCATACAACTGACCACCCGATGCAGTGCATATTAACAAGGGTAGATTTTGGTAAGTTCATAATGAAAATTTTAATTATCCTCTAAGGGTTTTGTATGGATATGAAAAAGCAAAACAACCTAAAACTATCCCCATTAGCAAATCCAAGGGTTCAGGTCCATTCAAAATAAAATCATCTTTTCTATGTCTTTCTGTCTCTTAGTTCCAGTTTGCTTAAGAATCCCTTTGAAAAATTGCACAACTGGTGAGGAATGAGATAGAGTAGTGCCTCTAGAAACAAGCCGTGAAATCAGGCTGACTGCTGTGGTTGATGGCATGCAAGTGCCTTTGAGAGCGCGCTGTCTGTCAGGACAGGAGGAAAAGCTGTCTGCTTCACACTGTAATTCCTGAGTGAGCCAGCACGCTTGTATAGCTGTCTTTTTGATAGAGCTTCCTGAAGGGCATGAAGTGCTGTCTCAAGTGGTTTTCGTCTGTAGGCCTCTAAAGCTAATGATCTAAGCATTTTTTCTAATATTTATTAGATATGTGTATATTATATATGTTAGATGTATGTTGTGTGTGTATGTATTTGATACATGTTCTTTATCAGATGGATGATTTGGGAAAGCTTAATCCCGTTCTTTTGTTTTCTCGCTTTCTAGATGCTATATTTTAAAGTCAGAAGTTTTTTTACAGTGCCTAGTTCTTTTTACTTGCTCTGTTCTTCTGTGTCATACAAAGGTCACTGGAATATATGTCTTCTAAGGGTTCCAATTGTGTCGGCATTTAGCTCTTTTGTGCACTTAAAATTGGTACTTTTTCCTTTTTTGAGATGGGGTCTCACTTATAGTTGGATTGGCCTCAGCTCACTGAGATCCTCCTGCCTCTCTCTCCCAAGTGCTGGGATTAGAATTAGGTTTTGAACTTGGAGTTGAGAGTCTGCTTCATTTTATATGGGGTATCAGATTTTTCTGGGGTCGTAGAACTATCCATTATTTATGAATTAGCTGTTCAGAATAAGTTGACCATAGCAAGGGTTTATGTTTGACTCACTTGTATGTTTGTATTTATTTTTTTTATTTATTGGTTTTTCAAGACAGGGTTTCTCTGTAGCCTGACCGTTTAGGAACTTACTCCGTAGACCAGACTGGCCTCAAACTTGAGATTTGCCTGCCTCTGCCTCTCAAGTGCTGGCATTAAAGGAGTGTGCCTCTATCACCTGGCTTGAATTTAGTCTTTTCAATTGATCTCTGCTCATGATAGTTCTGTGATGTTTGCATTTCCAAAGCTTTGTCGAAAGTTTTGAAATTTCTGAGACTTTCAGTTTTCTATTCAGACTTGTTCTGAACATTCTGAGTTTTTCTGAGTTTTAGGAACACTATTCAACTTTTTTCAAAGAAACCAACTGGATTTTGATAGTGGTTATGTTGAGCTTATAGATTTGTCCAAAGAGTATTGTTATTTTTTTTACTAAATATGATCTGTGAACATAAAATATCTTTAGGGTTTTCATATCTTTCTATAGTTATTAGAATACATTACATTTCTTTCATTAAATATACCTCTAAGTATTCTTTGACTCAAATCAAATTGATTTTATCTTTGAATTATTCATTGTAAGTGCTATAGAAAAACAGTTTTTATATATAAATTGTGTAGCTTGCTACATTGCTTGATTGACTTATATTAATTTAAGATTAGTTCTAGGGACTGGAGAGATGTCTCAGCGGTTAATAGCCCTGGCTGCTCTTCCAGAGCTCCTGAGTTTAATTTTCAGCAACCACATGGTGGCTCACAGCCATCTGTAGTGGGATTTGATGCCCTCTTCTGTCAAAAAGGTGTACCTGCAGGTAGAGCACTCATACATACAAAGTGAATAAATCTTAAAAAAAAGATTAGTTCTGGCCCAGTGGATTATTAGGATCCTATTTTGTTTTTTCTTCCTTTCCATTGTATACCTTTCATTTACTGAAATTCGATCCTTAAGAGAAATACTGAACAGAAGTAGCAAGATTGGAGATGTTGTCCTATTCGTCATCTCAGGAAAAGGCGGTTAGTGTTTGTTTGCTTGGAGTCTTGTTTTGCTACTGGATGTTTGTTTTTGGGCCAGGGTCTTGCTATTCAAACTTAAGCTGTCTGGATTTGCTTTGTGCCCTGGACTGACCTTGAATTCAGCTTCCCCTGCCTCTGTCTCCCAGAGGCTGAGATTTCAGGCACACGGTACCCTCCTTGGCTTTTTTTCTTTGTAATTCTCCACTACCACAAATCTACCTTGTAAGTCTTATGCAGACGTAAACACACATGCATACACACACATACATATATGAGTGCTATTTTTAGGATAGTTTACATTTCTCTTAGTTAATATTTTTCCCCACCCCTCTTTATTTTGGGCAGGATCTTGCTATTAGCCCAGAGTGGCTTTGAGCTTTAACTTCCTTCCTTCCTTTTCTGTGGTTCTAGGTTAGAATCAGTTGTGAGCCACCATGCCCAGCTCTTCATTCTCTCTTCTCACAGAAGTGAACTTACACTCTTAAAATGGGCTTTTTCCCCCAGGTTAAATCTTTGTAGTAAAGTAATATAACCTACTGAAGATAACTGATTTTTTCTTTTGTTACCTGCGGAGAACAGACTTACTGCTTGATAGATACAGTGACACTTGTAGATTTTTTTCCCCACGGACTCTCTGGTTCATTCTTCAGAGAACTGTTTGGACAGTGAATTGTGCATATTCAAGTTGGCATCCACTAAGAACTGGATGCCTAGGGATGTTTTCTGCTCTGAGAACGCCATATTCTGTAAACCAATAGTTGCAGCTAACAGTTTGTCTATTTATTGGTCATGGTCATCTTTTCTTTCCTGAGTTCTTGCATCCTTGTGTATGGTTTGCCTTTCTGATTCTTCTGATATTAGTGTTACAACAGTGTATAAAGAAATGAGGAAACCAGATGGTGGTGGCGCACACCTTTAATTCCAGCACTCGGGAAGCAGAGGTAGATGGATCTCTGTGAGTTCAAGGCCAGTCTGGTCTACAAAGTGAGGGCCAGGACAGCTAGGACTTTTAGACAGAGAAACCCTGTCCCAAAAAACCAAATATATTTGGACTCTGCAGCTTCCGATGTAGTGTGTATAGAGGGCAAGATGCGGTCAGCTTTCCATCACTGTAATAGATTACCATTTCCGTTGAGGTTTTAGCCTGGTTGTTAGACTGTATGACTTTGGGAGATGGTAGCTTAGTCTGTTTTAGCTGGAACAGCTGGCAGAGATGATCTCATGAGAAGTGAAATAACAGAAAGGGGACTAGGGTCCCAGTATTCTCTTTAAGAGCACATTCCCAGTGATTTTACATTTTTTTTTTTAAATGGCCTGTCTCTTTAAGGTTCTGCCGCTTCCCCAGGAGTACCACAGGCTAGGGATCAAACCCTCATCCATGGCTTTGGGGGAACACTTGAAACTGTAGGTGAGAGGGAAATTTGTTTGCTCCATTTCCTCTTACTTGATTTGAGACACGATTTTGGAAGTGTGCTGAGTCCCACATGGAAATAAAGGTTTTATAAATGTTAACAGTTATTGAAACCAGGCTTCCAACTGTAATCTTACACTTCTAAATTTTTTAAGCTCCTCATCTCTACTCTTTTAATCGCAGCAGAAGCAGGCAGATTGGTCAATTCCAGGCCAACCAAGATTACACCATGAGATCCTGCCTCAATTAATTTTAGCTGGGCAGGGGTGGTGCATGCATTAAATCTTGGGAGGCAGAGGCAGGCGGATCTCTGTGAGTTCAAGGCCAGCCTGGTCTACAGAACGAATTCTAGGACAGGCTCCAAAGCTACAGAGAAACTCTGCCTTGAAAAACCAAAAATTAATTAACTTTAAAGAGTAAACAAAACCTCACCTAACGAGAGAGTAGGGCTATTGGTATTTCAGACCATGCCTTTCCTTCGCACTGTCATATTTCTATATTTGAGAAGAAGCATGGGTATTTCTCAATTCAATTCCATTTTGTTTTTCAGATTTGTACTATGGTGGGGAAGCTTTCTCTGTAGAGCAGCCACAGTCTTTTACTTGTCCCTATTGTGGAAAAATGGGCTACACGGAAACATCTCTTCAAGAACATGTTACTTCTGAACATGCAGAAACATCAACAGAAGTGGTAGGTGACACACTTGCGTGTTATTCTGCACTGCTAAACTAGGCCCTGTCGTCCACCTCTTAGGATGATGAACTTCTAGTACAATAATAACAGTTGCCTTCAGGAGCCCTAGGATGCTGCATTTCTTCAAGGTAATGCAGGGATGCCTCATCACCGGCAGCAGATGAAGGCTGAAAGGACCCAGCCAGCTGTTTGTAAAATGGTCTTGTTAGTGCTGTGTGCTTAATTGTTCTTGCATAAGGAATTTTTCTCAGGGAAACTGTAAATCTTTGGTTGTCCTCCCCTGCAGTCCCAGGCTGCACCACTGGCCTTCCTTAGTTCTCATCAGCTCACATCTCTTGCGTCCAGCTTAAAACTCAGTGGTTCCTCGTTCTTCCTTCCTGGTTTTTCCCCCAGTGACTAAAAGCAAAAAGGCCTAGGATAAAATATGAAGTCTTAACTTGAAAATTTTCTAGACTTTTTTTAACCTCACATCTGAGTCATTAAGCTTCTAACTTTAATAAGCAATGGTAAATATACCCAAGAGTCTCAGCGGGAACAAGTTTCATTCAAGACACTGCTTTACAAGGAAGACAGATGAAGGGAGGTTAGAGAATGGCGCAAGAGGAAGGGAAGGGATGTGATACCATACGGCAGGAGTGATCTAAGAGCAGACCAAAGCAAGTCTGTGTGCAGCCGGAGCTCCTGATTTTGGAGAACTTACGTACACATCAAATACTAATTCTCTAGATGTCCTCACAACAGATAAAGTTCAGAGAAATGAAGTAGTACACTCAAGGGCATGCAAGTATTTAAACTTGGCCAGAGGCTTCTGCAGGCTGACCTTCCCATGGATACTGCCAGTTTGTGCTTCAAATTTCCATGAGATTTGGAGTTCAATTAACCTCATCTGAGAGTACACCAAGGGGAACCCAGAGCGCTATAACCACATTGTTTGTTCTGGTTGGTTCTTTTCTTGCCAGATAACTTTGCTTCCTCTTTTGTCATCCTAGGCACAGCAGAGAGAGTCCTGACTCAGTCTGTCCCCATCCTAACTGCTGTGAAAAATTTGTGGTGGTTTTCTGTTTTACTGTTGAGTTTGGGTCTTTTTAACTAGATGCACTGAATTCCTTATGGAAAACTAGACATCCCAAAAGTTTTTTTCAAGGCAGCAGGCTCTAGTGTTCTTTCATTATTCAATGGGCAATTTAACTACACAGTTTTCCACATGGAGAATCGGATAATCCAGGGGAGAAGCAAGTCCTTCCCATAAATGAGAACTCAAGGGTGAGCAGCCTTGTCTACCAGTTCTTTGAAAAGAAGCTATTCCGAGTTGTTTACCCCCTCGGTTCTGATTCAGTTCTGATTCACTGCCCTTCCACTGTGGTCTGCCCTTCCACAGGTTTAATCAGTCGTTGACCTACGCTAAACTCCCAAGTGTTCAGTGCGTAGCCCCAGGCAGTCCTCACCATTCTAGTTTTTCACACTTGTTTTATGGACTGTATTTGAAAGCTCTCTCCTTCCTTAGCCCTCCTTAGTTTTTGCATGAATATCAAATTTCACTGCCATAGCCAATAAAATAAAAAATGGCAAGCAGACAGGACTTTTGCTGTGAAGATGCGGGCTCGTGACTTTGGGTCACTCTTGTGTGGCCTGTAGACCAGTGCCTCTCTCCACACGTGTGGCTTTTATTGCTCTATTGTATTAGCTGTAAATGAATGCGCACATCACCTCTTAGCCCACGGTGTTTTGTTGTGGTAAACCAAACCTTTTGTTTTAATGTTTATTGATGGATTTTAGGGGAAGGGTAGGCGTTGGTTCCCTCCATTGTTTGTGCTCTGAGTACTGAATTGAGCTCAGGTCTTCAGGCTTGGCAGAAAGTGCCTTGACTCACTGAGCCCTAAACCAGATTATTTTTAAAGTGAATCACGAATTTCAAGAGGAAATCCTTTCATTTTGATAGATAGTGTTAGTGTTTTCTTTTTCTAAATGCCCAGTTCATTATTTTACTTTTATTACAGAATTAACTACGTGTGTCCTCTAGGCCAATTCATACTTTACTATAGGACTTAAAAACCGTGCTTTCGAATAATCAACATCTCTTTGGAATATTGTGGCGCAAGAGGCTCTGTCATTGTAAGCACTTTCTTCGGTAGATGCTCACAGAGAGTTGAAGTGGCTGGTGAGAGAGTCTACTGAAGCCAGAATTGGAAGTAGTTTTGTAGTCCTTTATTCTTTTTATTCTGACTTTTTTCCCTCCAGTCTGGGACTCTATGTTAAAAAAAAACAACTATAGCCCTTTGCCTTCTTAAGATTCATTTTAAGATCATTCAAGAAAGCTTACTTTTGAGTGTACCGAGAACCCTTTAAAACCAAGTCCGTGGCTTGGGGTATGGCTCTGTGGTCAGATACTTGCTTAGTACGGAAGAGACGCTGGGTGCAACCTCCAGCAGTACAAGAAGAAAAGAAGAAACAACAGGAAACTAGCCCCTGACCTAGATCGTCCAGAAAAGGAGTTACTGGCTTTAACTAAAGGGATGATATAGTTTGGGCATGTATTTGTCAGCCTTAGTAATCTTTAGGTAAACACCAAATATTAGAAATTATGTGATTTTGAAATTAGCCCTCATTTTTAAATGGTTTATTAACACATTAATTATACATAATAGTGGGTTCATTGTATAATGCATTTTGATCTTATTTCCCCTTATCCTGTTCTATCCCATACCCCTTCCCTTCAACTAGCACTGTTCTTATTAATTACTATTTTTAAATAGTAATTTAAAAATTAAAGTTCTTTAAAGGAACATGGTAAGGATTGTTTGTAGAAGTGTGGCACCTTACCAATGCTGCACTGTAGAAGAAAGTGTCTCGCCCCCCCACCCATCATTAACTGCCTTCTGTGGCAGAGTGTTGACAGACCCAAACTTTTTGGTTTTTCGAGACAGGGTTTCTCAGTACTAGCCTCACAAGTTCCTGAGGAATGCTGACTTTTATCTAACTGCCAGAAATCGTCCTGTAGTCCAGGTTGAGTTCATTTCTGAGTACTTGGACTGCCTTTGGAGTTTGGAAAATTGGAATTCCCTTTGAATCTGACAGTGGCCTGTGTTGCGTTTCTATTTTTCTCTATTATCCATAGACAGTGCTAGTATTTAAATTTGGTGAACACATCTATCTCCATGAGTGTTTGCCATGCCCACAGAGAAAACAAAATCCTTTCTTCTAGCCTCTGTGGACTACAAGGCCTGGTCATCGTGCTTGACAGCAGTGTCTGCAGAGCCCAGAAGAGACCGTTGAGGTTGAAGGGGCATAGACATTACAGGGAGTTGTGAACCACCCAATTTGGGTGCTGGCAACTGAACTTAAGCCTTCTAGAAGAGCAGTACATACCCTTAACTGCTGAGCCACTTCTCCAGTTCTGGATCTTTACATATTTTAAAATATTTATTTTGAGTTCTCATAATCCAAAATCAGATAATGGGACTTTTTTTTTTAAAGAGAAATTTAGCTATTAGTATTCAGTAGACGATTTTTCGAATTGCCACCATGGAAGGAAATTGGGTTTGGGATGGCTCAAGGGGTAAGGTGAATGCCACCTGAGTTTGACCCCTAGGCCCCTAGCTAGTGGGAAAGGGGGAAAAGAACACACAGAAGTTGTCCTGTGGAAGTAGCACACGTGCATAGATACACAATAAATAATTTGTAAAAAAAAAACAAAACCTCATTTTGTATTAAGGGAGATTAAAAAGCTTGCAGAAAGATGGGAGTTATTTTAAAGCTGAGTGGTTATTGCTGCTGTTGCTTTTGTTTGTTTTTATTTAAAGATTTGATCTCAATCTGTAGATCAGACTGGCTTTGAACTCAGAGATCCGCCTGCCCCTACCTTCCTCCCGAGTGCTGGGATTAAAGGTGTGCGCTGCCACCACCCGGCGCCCCTTTGTCTTAATTTCGCATCAAACCCTTTATTTATTCCTCCAGTGAACACCCTTTTAAAAAAGCATCCCAAGGCCGGGCGTGGTGGTATACTTAATCCCAGCACTTGGGGAGGCAGGGCAGGCATATCTGTCAGAGAGAACCTGCCTGATCTACAGAGTGAGTTCCAGGACAACCAGGGCTACCCTGGCTTCAAAAGAAAAAAGAAAAAAACATTTCAGACTTGATTAACATCATAATTAGCCTACTCAAAATAACAGAAAATGAATTTTCAGGATGCTGTACTGAAAGTAGAGAGACATGAGGGGGCCAGAGCTGAGAACAGCAAGTATGGGAGCCTGAACTACTTGAAGCTGAGCGTTGCCTGCAGAAGAGGAAAGGTGCTTGAGGCTGAGATGGAAGGATCAGCTTCTTCGCCGGCCTGAGCTACATAGTGAGGTCCTCGCTCAGATAATTATATACAACCTTTTTCAGTTGTTTGTTTTGTTTTTAAGACAGTCTTCATATAGCCAAGACTGGCCTTGAACTTCTGATTCTCCCGCACAACCTCTCGATTGCTAGGGATTGCAAGTGACTACCAGCAAAGCTTGTTTACAAAATAATGGTAGAAAAAACATTGCCTAGATAATTCCTCGGGCTATTATCATCACCATTAAATACAAGGCAAAATATTCATAGCTTCTGGATGTCTTTTTAAGCAGTATTGGTGGGGAGTTGTTTTGAGGCAGGTGGGTTGGCCTAAAACTCATCCACCTGCCTTTACCTCCCATGTGCTACAATGAAAAGTCTGTACCATGATGCCTGGCTTAAGCATTATTTTTTTTTTTTTTTATTTTTCGAGACAGGGTTTCTCTGTAGTTTTTGGTGCCTGTCCTGGAACTAGCTCTTGTAGACCAGGCTGGCCTCGAACTCACAGGGATTCGCCTGCCTCTGCCTCCTGAGTGCTGGGATTAAAGGCGTGCGCCACCACCGCCCGGCTTAAGTATTATATTTAATGTATGTAAGTGTTCACTTGCTGAGGTTAGAGTACTCTTGAGTTAAGTATAATGACTCTTCATGATCATGATAACAGATTTAAAACCTAGCTT